AAGGTGGATCAGGTTGTTGAACAGTCTTGCTTTGTAGAACTGTGTATTGTTTGGGCATTTGCCATGGGGCTGAGGTGATGATGGGGCGGTGGGCCACTGGGCACGCTTTCGAGGATTTGTTGAGCCGAAGCTGGGTGTGGAGGCCCCAGTTTGATTCATTGGTGCTGAATTGAATTGTCAGGTCCCCGGCCTCGCGGTGAATGTTTTTACTGAAATTGTTCTGGGCTACCCAACCTGTACGCCCCGGAGAAAAAAGGAAAAAGGCTTAGCCATGATAGCCAACTGTATGAAGGGGTCACATTTGGGCCAGCCAGAGAAAACAATGATAATAACAAGAAAACAAGAAAATAATCCCTATACAGTAGTGGGCCTTGTGTGACTCTCCCATCCGAGACTCCGCCCTGTGTTGGGAAAGGCCCGCACGGGGGGCGGGCGGGGCCCAGCAAAGGCAGAGCACAAAAAAAAGAGGAATCCGAGCACCGAAGACAGGTCATGCATTTTCCAGCGGAAGATTCGTTCTGATTTTGGACCTTCGGTGAGTCGTGGAGCGAGACCCATATACATTCCTTCGACCCCATGCGTCCTCGGTCCGCTACTCCTCTACCTAATGTGCAAAATGAGAACGAATCTTCCACTAGCACATGGAAAGATACGCCACCATATTTTTTGTCGTTTGTGCATCCATATTTTTTGCCTTTTGTGCATGTAGTGAGTAGTGGAGCGAGGCCCATGGTTATGCTAATGTCTAAGAGGAGTGGCTACTCTGCAGCCAGTGTCCTCCTCTTGTTATGTGAACAGCAATCGGTCGAGGGTGAGCTGGGGTGTTGCTCCTAAGGGAATGGAACCAGAAACATAAGCAATTGGGGAAGGGGGTAAAACCAAGAAAAGAACGGTAAATTTGAAGAACGGTAAATTTGAAGGATGGTAAATTTGAAGCTGGAGTCTTCCCAACCCGAGCGGTAACATTCTTGTTGGCATGGTAAATGGTAAGAAGGGATTGTTGTTGTTGTAATGTTTAAATGTGGGCGCGGTTTGCAGCACGCGCGGTTTAAGGGTGAATATGGAACTTTTTCTTGGGTTTTTTGTTGGTTCCGTTAAACCACCACTACCTCCGAGCCTCTCTTTCACGAGGAGGAGAAGAACTGCGCACGAAGCTTTGCCGAAGTGCCAGGGGGACCCTTTTCTCCTTGCCGGCAGCAGCCAGTTTGGTCTGGGCGTCCGATCCCCAAAGAATGCAGCATAGGTTATATTTTCCTGTGAAAAGTAGTGGTGGCTGAAGTGCGACAGCATGTGAATGCGGTATACGATATATTTTCCTGTGAAAGGTAGTGGTCGTTTAAGTGCTACAGCCTGGGCATATTATGCTTGCACCGACTGGCCCCAGCGAAGTCACAATTGTTTCGTTTGTGTTCATTTGATTGCATCTGGATTTGAACTGGGGTCTGCATTTGAACAGTTGATGGGTGTACGAACTCAGCTAAATCGGGTTTGTCATGTGGTCTTAAGTTTTCTGAAGTGTTTTCTCCTCGTTCTCGACAAGAGGGAGAGACTCTTGTGAGTGAGCTGGGCAAGGTTAAAAGATTGGCTCCCTTTTGACCAAGCCACTGTTGCCTGGTGCGCGTTCTAACCTATAGTAACCTAGAGTTGGAACCTGTGGTCATCATTTGTTTTCGGGTTCTTGGCCTCGGTCTTCTCTGTGCTCCTGCTTCTCTGGGTTCCCTCTGTCAAAGGAAAACCCTGAGCATGTTGAAGAGTGGTTGGTTTTGTTGTGACTAAATTATGTGCATCTTCTCATGCCACTGTTTTTCTGTGTCCATGTTTGGTTTACCTGTCACAGAGCATTGAGAAGGGTCAATGTCCCCATGAGCTTGAACCATCGGATAGGAGGGTTCAGGTCTCTGTTGATCTTGTGCAGAGATCTTCAGAAGATTGGAAGGTGAGCTCTGTCCCGCCCCCCC